ACAGACTTGGAGGGAAATATAGCCTTAGGAAAAACTCAGCCCCTGTGGTGTAAATATGAAGTGTTGCAGGTTTTGTTCGCTGTAGATGATAAAGACGTACTGTCTTATTAGTGTACATTTTCTTATATGAGAGATTGACATTTAAAAAGACACAACAAAAATGATAATGAAATGAAATTAATAATCATGTTGATAAATTTTTCAGTCACCCTTTACCACCCGGAGTGCTTTTTACTAGCCTTACACAAACTTCAAATTTGTATTCATTTTAAATTCAGTCCTATATTAATTGATTTTAAATTGATTTTGTGGGATCTACTGTTTCTATCGTTTTCTAGTGAAAATAGTTTCTAAAGCAGGCTCCTACGGCCAGTAGAAAGCAAAAGTGTCGTTCTTGCTAACAGCCTATGAGAGTGTCGTTGGTATGGAGATGACGACCAAAACACAAAAACACATGCAGTGAACTCATAGAAAACAAGCCTCTAACATTTTCAGCCTGCAGTCTTTACAACCTCTCTGACCTCTGACTGGTTTGTTTTGCACTAAAGTACATTGATTGTTGAGTAAGTATTTGACAACTCAAGTATTTTCCAGGTACTGCTGTTGATATCCAGTGCAGACATGCATACACTAACAGTTGCTCTCCATCAATCCCTGTTTGCTTGTTAACAGTTCGGAAAACTTTTTGTGGAAGTTTGAAGTAATTAAAAAAGGGAGGGAGGGAGGGAGGAAGGGGATGAAGTGGTGGGGGTGGAGGCAGCAGACTTATGCTGCAATATCCATACTAAATTCTGTGTAATGGTAAGGTGAGTCACTCGCCTTAATTAGTTTAGTCTTTCTACTTTTCTCTCTACCTCCACTCTCTCTCTCTCCTGTGGAGTCATTAATGTGGACGTGAACATTTTTCTCTCATTTGAAGGGGTAAATAATGAAAGAGGAGCGACAGTTTTTGGAGGGGAGCTGAGAGGAGGGAGGAGAGAGGAGTCTCAACATTTTAAACACAGCGGGAAGGCAGCAATTAACAGGATCTGACAAACTAGAGGGACACAGACACAAACGACACACACACACGCAGACAATCACACACACTTGAAAACATTCTTTGCACTACAACAAAGGCAAGAATACCTCCAATCCGTGTGTGTTTCTACTCATCCACCGCCACCTGATGCTTGTTTCAAATATTAAAAACTTCATTCATACTAAAATGCACTGCCCCCCTGCACCTCCTCCCCTTTGCTGTGTCCTTGAGTCTGGACTTTCCCTCAAGGTCAGAAACCTCACATGGCAATAAGACGGAGAGCATTTCCATCAGCTATAGATGGGCCGCTGTTTCATTAGCGAATGAAAGCTGTAATTGTGTGGATGAGGCTCTCCTCCGCAAATTCAGCCGTGATAATTACTCATAGTGAGTAAAAACACTCGTCAGGCAGACGAACCATTAGAGAGGCATGTAAACAAACCCTTATCTACTATGGGCGATTGGCTGGTGGGGATTGATGAAAAAAGTTTGATTCTGAAGAGATCTGAAACTGCTGACAAGCGGCAGAGATGCTCATCCAAGGATCAAAAAAGGAGCACTCCCAAAAAAAAAAAACTGTAATTTTGGAGAGGCAGGCAAATATCCCAGAGTCACAAAAAGCGACAGGAAGCGTGAACATTCTCAACCCACCCATTGGACAGTGTATGCCGATGCCGGTTGATCATCCACCACTCTTGTGGGAGGAGGAGGTTTAGCTGGAGGATACAGAGGACTGGAGACAACTGGTTTCACGAGTGACACAGTGAAAGAGTGGGATGAATCCTGAGAGACTTGTGGAGGTGTAAACGGACAGCAGCAGGGTTAATGATCCTGTCGATATCAAAGGAGCCAATCCTATTCGGGGCAAACGTACGGCACTCCACAGGGAAATGTCTTTGGATGACAACCAAACTTTCTGTCTGGGTTGGTGAGAGGGAGCAGGTGCACGGTGCTTGTATGCCCTCACCTCGACCTTTGCAGTGGTCCGGAGCAGTGCCACCATAACTGCCCTCCAGACTCACCAACACCTCCTCATGTTCTCCCGAACCGAGGGAACTACCCTGTCCATTTCCTGCTCAGAGAACAGAGGATGTTGATAACCAAGAACAACTCGGAAAGGGGACATACTGGTAGCAGAGGTAGAGAGGGAGTTGTGGGTGTACTTAACCCATGAAAGGTACGAGCTCCAGGAGGCGGGGTGATGGCTGGTACACTGGAAAAAAGTTCCCAGGTCCCGATTGAGTCGTCCAGCCCCCCAGCAGCTGGCAGAAGGATTTCCAGACCTGAGATGAGAACTACAGACCCCTATCAGAGATGATGTCTTGAAGACGGAACACATGCTGTACAAGGAGGTCAGCAGCCTCAGTAGCAGAGGGGAGCTTAGGCGAAGGAACAAAGTGGACATACTTAAAGAAGCGCTTAATTATTTCATATATGTTGGTGTTACCAGCAGGATGGTGGTAAAACAGTAACAAAGTCCAAGGTGATGTGAGACCATGGGTGTCGAGGGATGGAGGAGACTACCAAGCTAGCTAGCTAAAAAAATGATCAGATAATATTTGAAATAATGCCTAAGATTTGGAATAAATTGCTACGTGTACATAAAAATAAATTAGAAAAGAAAACATAGCTAAAGATTATAATATTAGAAAGAAAGTAAATATGAAAAAATACCTGGCTGTTAGCTGAATGACTTAAAATTAGCCTCATATATCAGTACTAGTAAATTATGTCAAAAACTAGTAACAAGTAAAAAAACAAACAAATGGAAAATAAACAGAGACAACAGCTGGTGTTTACCAGAGGTTATGGTAGGAATCTCTATACTAACCTCATATAAAGTGTTTGTATTATCTTTCCTCAGTATCCACTGCAGTCAAACTCACTTGTTTTCCTCTGCAGTTTAGCCTTGACGAGCAATTATCACATGCAGTGTAATTTTTGTCACCTCCTTTATGCTGTTGCCTGGTTCACGTTTTAAAACTGACTATTGAGACGCTGGTAGCACTTAGGTGTAGCCTACAGTCATCTGCAGCATGCAGCTTCTTTTAAAAACAAAACCCAGCCTCCAGTCGTCACCTCACCATCAGCAGCTGTGGCTCCTTCACGTCAATGCAACACTGAGGTATAAAGATGATTCCAGTCCTGTTAGCATCAACATAACGTAACAGAACATAATGATGGTGGAAATGAGTGGAGACTCACACGCTGTGGCAGAATGATAATTAGTGGCTGAAGAAAGTACAAAAGTAGGAGTCTCTTAAAGAAAGTTGAGTGAGTGAGTGATGGTTTGTGGTGCCAGAGGGAGGACGGAGCCCAGAAATGGGTGATGGGAAAATGGATCGACGACCAAAAAAAAAGGCCAAAGCTGGGAGCTAAGATTAGGATTCCATCTGTATTGAATGAAATATTCAAACATACACTGGTGAGAGGGAGGAGTGTGACAGAAAAAGGATGGTTATGGAGGATAGTGATAATGAAATCACCCTTTTTTACACAAATGTTGGTACATTATAATGCAAAACAAATGATGAAAAATAGTTCTGTGCTGTCGGTGAATGTACTTTTATCTTGTTAGAAAACTATTAAAGTTTTTTCAGTTTTTTTTTGCTGTCTCACTCTTGCTTTGTCTCTGTCCCAAAGCCCTTGGAGTGTACTACTTGTGTCAGTTACATACTGTAGTAACATACTTTTTAAAATTTCTGCCCTGCAGAGGCTGCTGTAAGTGAATACATTTACAGCAGCTGCTCTGTTAATATTGACAGTAAGCAGATTCTGTTCTGCCAACATTAAGCCAATCCTGGGCAAACTACAGTACTTTACAATTTTCTTTAGCCCTGGTTTCTTATCAGCTGTGGAATATTTGTTTATTCCTTATACTTCAATCACTTTAGTAGGAATTGGGGCAGTAGCCGAGCGTAGATCCACTGTCCTGGGCCATTCAATACAAATCTATGTATTGTTGAACCACTAGTATATGTAAATATATGTATATATGTACTGAAATAGAAGGAGAGTTAAGTTCAGATAGTTTTCCTCCCCGTTGTGCTGTCTTTGCTCTGTGCTGCTCTTCCAACCATAAAGGTGAAGTGTGGACACGGTGGTTTGCATGCTTTAAAGTAATTTAGGAGTGACCTTCAAAGAGGAGGCAAAGGCTGCAAAACAAATAAGGCAACTAAAATGTCAGCAGTGTTGTGGGAGACGGGACATCATTAGGAAAATGCACGACAGCAGATCCGGCTTAATTCATCTCAAATGGGATTCTCATTGGGGGACATGCGTCTTCACATTTTCCCCTGAAAGATAACAGCGGTGGATGACTCTGGAGGTTTTCTGTCAGAGCAAAAACAAAGTTTTGCTTTTTCTTTTGGCAAGTATTAGTAGTTCTTTTTAGATTTTAACAGGGAAAAACACTATTTTGACTGACCGGTTTGTGAACATGAAGCTACATTTGTTGGTATTTTTTGTCAACAGATTACAATCATTTCCAGCCATCAGAACAAACATTAAAGCCAGTCTACCTAATGTGATGATATTTGACACGGATAAAATGATTCCATTTAATATGAACAAGGCAATTTGTTTTGATCAGCCCTGAGGGTATTATCAGTACTGGGACTCTGCTGGGTCCTTCAGCCGTTTGGAGCTTTAAGTGCTTTTTAACTGACTGAAAAATAAATTGTTTACTGTCATTTCAGACCGCTGATGTTTGCTGGTGTAAAAATGTCAAATTGATAGAGCTATAGGTGGAGGTGTGCAGAATTTAATTTATCTCCTGCAGTTTTGAACAAATTAGGACCTTTGAGCCCAAACCATCTTCTATCAAATGCCTTTGAAAACTACACAGTGGGCTCTTCATGCAATAGAAATGTTCAAAAAATGCATGTTTTGTCTTTGGAAAGATGGTGGTTTATATGTTATAAACAAAATCAATAAATAAAAACTTCCACATGTCCCCCCCCTCCCTCCTTTATTCCAGGTGATGGTGTTCATATCCCAGAAGAATCCAAAGACCAAAGAAATTCTCCCTTAAGTTGTGTCTGATTCTAAACCAGGGCTGCTCAATGTGACAACTGTAAGTAGGAGTTTTTTTCATTTTTTTCCTGCTGCTCTTCCTCACAGAGCCTGTGTTTTAAAGCCGGCTGTATGTTGAAAGAGCTAATGTAAGAAAAGCTTTCCAGCAGAATAGGATTTCATCTTGGTTTCGAACAAACTTTTTTACACAAATCCTGCACTCTCTTCAAACATTGTATGAGAAAAATATAAGAGAAAAATTAGCTCTACTAAAATGCTACTTCTAACTTAGGGTAATCATACACTTTTCCAACCTACTATTCTCCAAGAAGTGCAGTCAACAACTCGACCATAAAATGTCCTCAATGTAAGACTGTGTTCAGGTGGTTGTCATGCAAAGATATTACAATTTATATTCTTTTCAATCAGTTATTATACAAAATAAGTTTTAAAGATTTTTTCTCTTCCTGTTCCTGTTAGGGGTTTTTTGTTTTTTTTTTTTTTTTTTGTTTTTTGTGCTACTCTGTAATTAAACCAAACACACAGAGCCGGTTTATGTCAAGGTTAGGAGTTCCTACTTTGAGATGAATAAATTAGAAAAAAAAAATAATAATAATAATGTAATTAACAGCACTTATTGAGTAGGTGCCAAACTGAATGCTGGCATTTTCAGAGGTTGGTGATTTAATTATAGCTCAGGCCATTTCTTTAATGGTGTTGACAACTGTGAGCCTGTAGGTGGAGAAGGGTGGAGCATGTCAGCCGCAGTCATCATCGTCAACCTGCCGACTCCCAAAATAACTCTGAGGAAGAAAGTGAGATAATGTCAAGCATGAGTCAGTAGCTGAGGGGAACAGATATGATATATTACGAGAACTCAAGTTTCAAGTGGACACACAACTAGAAAAATACCTTTTGCTTAAATTGCTTAAAATAAACAGATGTAGAAATGTATGTAAGAGGACAAGGACAAAGTAGGACTTTAAAGATTCTAAATGAGGTTTTTGATTTAGAAGTTGAGTGGTAGTGGGGTTGGGTGTATTGTACAGATTGGGTATAAAAGGAGCATCAACCAAAAGCTGTGTCTTTTTTACCTAGAATGGGAGACGGTTTGTCACCTTATAATTTAGGTTTTTTTAGAAAAGAAGTGGACATAAAATTTTAGAAATGAAATGTAAAATAAAGACCACTCCTTTTTTTTGATATACTGCAATATACTCTGGTTTAGACAAATTGGAGGACATTTAAATTAAACTTCAACACCAGTTTTGACCGTCAGTCCTTTTAAAAAAAGGGGGGAGCTTCCACTCATGCTTTTCATTTTCACTCTTTAAAGTGCCCACCTTTTACAACAACAAAGTGAAAACAGAAAAGAATGCTGTTGTGTTTGGGTGTACTTGAGTTTGGCCTGGGCACTGATGACCTCAGAGGAGCCAAGGACTCGCCGTCCAACACCGTAAGAAAGATGGATACGCCTGCCCCTAGAATGGGCCCCGGATTATCTCTCTGGCACAGGAGCCGGCAGAAAAGGGAGCAAACGGAACATCTCTGGGGCGGTGAAAAATGAGCGAGCGAGATACTATTTCTCTTTTAATTCACAAGGGGTGGCCTGGCTGTGCCTGCGATAAGACACAAGTGATCAACATCCTCCAAGTCTGCGGTGACTTGGCCTCCTGGCGGCTCCCTCCTCTGGCTGATATGTAGGATGGATTATTTAATTTTTTTTTTTTACTTTCTTCCAACAGGTACAGTGCAAGTTCAAAAAAATCAAATGAAAAAGAAAGAGCAAAGACAGAGAGAAATCATGTGGAAGCTGCAGGCACAGAGCTACCATATTCTGCCAGAGCTCAGATCTGGATTTATGATGGGGGTAGAGAGCTGCACAAGGCCTGGGGGAGACGGTGGAGTTACTTTTAGGCCCCTTCTTTTCCTCACTTCTTGTCTTGTTTCCACATTCTTTGTGTTGCACATAGCATTTTCTCCGAGGACAGAGCACCAGTCAAAACACGAGTTGGTCTCCGGTCTTGAACTTTTTTTTTCTCAAATAAAGAAGTGATCTACATGCCCGGTCATATCCTTGTCTGATCTGTCAGACAAGAAGCAGCCTCTCAGCATCCACGTAGCCATTTTCGAATAAAAATCCAAAATGGACCCATGCTGGTTCATTTAAAGAGAATCGGTAACATAAAGAACCAACGTCTGCAGCAGCTTGGTGGAATTCAGAACTCACACTAGGCATGAAGGCAATCAGGTTAAATTGAATGGAACAATACTGGGCTCCATTTCCCAATGTCCCCGGATGTAGCCTTCATTCAAAGATGAAGAGCTGTGTGACCCCAGTCTTTCTTTTTTACGTGGAGAAACTGGTGAAAAACTTAAATGTAACATTTGGATTCAGTCTGGAAAGGTGAAAAAACAAATGAGGAATCGGTTTCCTCAGTGAGACTTTGTTTTCTATTTCATTCCTTAAAGAGAATGAGCAAATAAAACTATCGAAGTTTAAAGAAAACCACTTCTGCTTTTTCTATCTTCTAGTTTGAAATTTAAACATACCTTTAATCTTTCAGTTATTTTTACCCTTAATGGCATATATTTCTATTTTTATTTATAATTTTGCATTTGTAAATGTCAGAATTTAAGGCTTTAATTACTCACTACTTGACATTTACATACAGTATATAATTAATAAAAAGCCACCTGACATGTCAACACCATGACCTTTACTTAATTTAAAAAAAAAAAAAAAAAGATTTATTTATCATCTAAGACCGCTTACATCCATCGACAGATGCCAGCAGGTTGTTGTTGTTCCAAACTCAACATAAACCCAGTCTATGGCTGACATTTATTATTCTGTCATTGCTCATGTCAAAGCAGGAGGAACTCAGGAACGCCTGTAAAATTAAACCATAGAACTATGGTACGCAACACATTTTACATCTTCTCGTACATCGATCAGAGTCATCTTCAGAGCAGTCAACTGAACTGCTGTAAGGTCTGAGGCTTGGAAAGTTTTAACTGGCTGATGATTTGTCACCTCGGTCATGTGACAAAATTGTTTGATTACAACATCCCAATTTGTGTGATTTTTGTATATAAAGATTTTTTTTAATACTTTCATTATTGCCATGATAAAATAAGCATTTTCTAGCCTAAGAAAAAAACAATACTGAAAGTTTCAGAAAGTTTTTGCCATATTTCACGCCCTATGATGCCTCCAAAAGGGTTCGTAAAAGGGTATATATATACGTAAATAATATAATACTATACTATATACTACTGCGTCTCAAAGCAGTTTTTTTGCCTATCGCGGGCAGTTTTGGAACGTTACCTCTGTGACAGACGAGGGACCACTGTATATTCATATATACCTTTGAACTGTTGTTTTTGTTGTTGTTTTTTAAAATATTTTAAGGACAGACTTAGAACTTTGAGAGATTTAAAGCCAATATCATTTGAGGAAGAATTTGCGGATGACCCCTGACCTTTAAAGTCTGCCCTTAAAATTGGTTTTCAGCCATTTTTGAAATTGTCTGGTGAATATTTATCTCAAATACCACATTGACAGACCTGGTACTAAGGTTGTAGAAGGAAATGCATTCAAAGATTCCTGGGTTCTGATCACTTCTTTCTGAAGCTTTGGTTTATCTGTAGTTACTGAGCTGCACAGAGGTTTGTTTTTGAATGATATTGTTGTGCCATGAGCTAAGCTTCTCCTCTGACAACAAATAAAGTCAGCCACCGTAGTATCCTGGATATCAGATCTCCTAAAGTAGAGGTAAATAGGAGAAAGCTGCAGGAAAAAAGAAAGATATTTTTTCTGTGTCTTAGCGAAGGCGACACGGTGAAGAAAGTGCTGCTGTGACTTGACAGGAGTTTAGAAAGGTTTATGAAATGTGCAACAGCGAGTGTGAGCTTGCAAGTGTGTGTTCCTGGATGTGTACTCTCCTTTAGTGAGTAGAAAAAAGTATCTCCTAAAAAACCGACTTCTGCAGATGTTCAAACATGCTTGTAAACAATATGGAGCAGCCCCGAACTCAGATCTTCACCTGTTTTTGTGAGTTTGGGAGCTGGGTTTTTGACGAGTGCTTCCAAGCCACTAATTGGACAGCAGACCAGTGCATGCTGATCGGCATATGTTTCTGCCTCTAATGACCTTCCTGTGGAAGCCCAGTGACAGAGGAGGAGAGGCAGCACCATCTGACCTGTGGACCTGCCAAAATCTCCTCCGCTTTGCATGTGTTTGATCCAGCAGTTTGTACTTCAAATGGTACTTTAGCTTCAGATTTTACAAGTAGGTCAAAAGAGACGCTGTAATCAGTCCTACTTGACCAAACAGGAAGAAAAGGCAGCCAGCGTTTGTCTCCTCTCTTGCGTTTATCCGCAAAATTAAGATGTCCTGTGAGTATTGGATTTCAGCGACTCTGTTCTTTGCCATCATTTAAAAGTTAATACATCACTGAAGGTCAGACGAGCGCCTGCAGAGAACCGTCCTTCAGAATAAAGCAGGGAGAGAATAAAAGATCTGCAGGATCTAAAGGGGTTCTGTCTCTTTCAGGCAGAAACGAGGACGGTCAATGTTTTAATTGGTCCTTAAGATTTTTTTTTTCTAAAGATTTCAGCACCAATGCTCTCAAAGGCACTCCATTAGATTAGCATTTGCCTGAAAAGGCAGCAAATGAATGACTGATTTGAAGGAGTGACTTTAATAAGGTGCCATCTGCAAGTGCAGGTCTTTATTTTGAGGAACTAGGTGGCAAGTCCAATCTTTGAACATTTTTTAAATGGTCAGATTTAGGTAATCTATTTTTGTCTTTCCACACAACAATTGCATTTTCTCTACTACTCAAACAGTATGTGTAGACTGGTAGTAGTTTTCTGCTGGTTTACTGTCAACAGTCAACATCAAAAACATGAAAACGCTAGCATAGAATTATGTAATCCTAAAATTACTACACTAAAGTAAATTCAGTAGATATTGTTTCAAATCAAAGGCTATACATAGGTTATATACAGAAAAAAACACACAAAAAACTACAATCCCTACAAATAATAATAATA